GAAATAAAGCGCCTAACTCTCTTTTGAAGGCTCTAAAGTAAGCAAACGAAGCTTAATGACTTGACTCGTACCATTAAAAAACGATCAAGGAGTGGTGGTGGGCACTAGGCAGAGTGTGACAAAGTGTTTTTCACACGGCAGCATCGTAATGAGCATCTTCTAGAAGATAGAAAACACTTCGCTCTGATTTTCAGAAAAAAAGGTTTTCCAGAGCCCTGGATCTCCAGAAAACCTTCTGCAAGGTTCTGAAAAAACGTTTTCATTAAATTTGAATTCAGCATACTGGAAAACCTAGAAAGTTTTTTGAGGTTCTTAGAATGCTTTAAAACCAAATGCCCACGTGCCTATCAAAAATTGCCCACTGTGTCACCGATGTTTTGTGGATTTATGAAGGGACTGGAAGAAGGTATTACGGCTAGAAGGAAATATTTTGTTTCTTATATATTTTTTATGTTTAGATAAAGAATATGATCACACGAGACACACTCTTCCATTGGCATTGATGAATGCCATCCGTCCAGTATTCACAGAATTAGCTAGTCGTAAGTTCATTTTTTAAAAGTTTTTTCAAACTAAACTTTTTTTTACATAGGTGATACTCTAAAAAGAGTGCTCAATAGAAGCTCTCAAAATACGAATGAAAGTTTTCATTTCCATTTTATGGAGTTTTGCTCCAAAAAATCGATATTATCCCGGCTCAATCGTTGACGTATGTGTGGCTCTCGCCGTTCTCGTGTACAACGCTGGTTATCAATCAATTATTCCAGTGGTCGAACAGCTGACAGGTATGAAATAAAAAGAAATGAAAAATAGAGGCAATGCTTCTTTTCTATTTAGGTGATGGAAGTGGCTATCATACCAGAGTGGCAATGGAAAGATGTGATAAACTTCGCGTTTATTACGAACACAAGAAACGCAAAGCAGACGTGCGAGCGAAAATGACCGAAGAAGAACGAAAACAACAAGAAGAAAAGGAACAAGACGATGATGAACAGTTGGACGACTCGTACTTACCCGGTGCATATTAGTTTTTTTTCTATTTCTTTTATTAAATAATTTTATATCATGTCTTTTTTTTGTGATTATCAAGTATTTTTTCCAGTAAACATTTGTTTGTATATATTTTTTTTCTCTAAATTGTTTCATAACAGTACTTTGTTATACCTCATCATTTTTCAAAAACTAAAACAGTATATTTTGCTCTATTTCTTTCTCTATGAGCTGATAAAGGATGAATGTAAAGTAAAAGCAGTCGAACACTGTTGAAGAACAAAATCTGCTATTGGAAACGGTTTTTTCAGTCCTTGTCTTTTTCGCTTCAGACAAAATGAATAATTTCAATTATTTATAGCAGAATCGCAGTTGAAACCAGTTTTTCCGAGATAAGTCACGTAAGAAATATAGCAGAGTTAACTGAAGAATTACGAAATAACAATTCTTATAATAAAGAATTGACAGGTTTCAATGGGATAAATTTACTAAATTTAATAGAAAAAATAAAAAGTTCTGATTTGACGTCTCTAGTTTTTCGATAATAGTGAGCAGTATAAGTCCTAACAAAAGAGTCAAGATTGGTCAATTTATATCGCTCAATGGACAGAAGATCAAATTCGACTGTGGGCCAATAAAATGGTTTATTTTCGAATAATGTGCGCTCACTTGTATTATGAAATCTTTTTCAACGTATTCTTTTGGATTAGCTATCAAAAACTGATTGTGCAAAATTGTTATTCGATAGCTTGTCAATCTGAAAGTCTGTCTAGTATGACTGCGCTGAAAGCTTACATTAAGGCGTGCTCACATATCATTTTTCTCTTTATAAGAAGTGCAGTACGATCTTACAAATCATGTATCTCTATACTAGGATTACAACTCTTTTGTTGAATCTCAAGCTATATCGAAACTTCAAGCTCAAAAATTGAAATTCTCAGGATTGATAATCAATTTTTAGTTTTTACAAATAGTAAAAATTTTTTGATCGATCTCGAACATCTCGTTTGCCCGAACCAAACTAAACAGAAAATGTCGTGTGTTTTTTATTTTTGAATGGAGAAATTACAATAATCAAAAGAAACGATCACTTTCATTACCAAAATGTGAACATTGGCGTAATTGGATCAAGTTGAGTAAAGTTGTTTAAATCGAATAATGTAAGCTGAAGAGTCTGTCAGTTTTCTTGTTTTTTTAAAATGAATGATAGATTTTTTCAAAAATGATCATCATACTTTTTCTCTTTTCTTTTGATTGATGATGGCCTTCTTGTTTTTATTGAAAATCGTAGGAGAACTGTAACATAACATGGCACATTACAATAAACGAGAAATTCAACTTTTGAATGTCAAATTCGAATATGCAAACAACTCGGCTTGCATATGTTTTGTATGCTGTTGGGGAGGTTAGGATATGGGAAAATTGTGATTCTTCTTCCCACACTGTGTATACACATCTATACCTATGTGTCTATTTACACTTCGTCCTAGGTTATGTTGAGTAAAGTTATGTGAAAATCCAATATCATTTGTATCTGTTTTTAGTAAACTGTGGAGTGATGGACTGGTTGATTAAACTGTCAATTATGTTGATGTGTATAAATGATTTTTTCTGTTGAGTTATTTATTGTGATCACCGTTATGCCGAGCGATAGGTCTCATCGTCTACTGACGAGATTGGCAATCCGCATTATGTGATGAATTTCAAGCAGTATTTACTTTGTTAGTTTGCTGTGCTTAACTATAGTAAAACAAAGATAAACACGTTTCCTCAGGTTAGGTAATGTGGAAATCCAGTTGTACGTGTATGCTGTCAATCTGAACATATTATTTGATGCAGAATAATTGATTCTTTCGGCATCATCCGGCAATCGCCGTCGCCGCGGATTCCTATATGTTAAAGTGTAAAAGGATAAACGTGCATAACTGAGGGTGAGGATGAGGGTGGAGCACTTCTTCACCCGCTTCACTCCCGCTTCTTCTCGCTTTCTCTCTTCTCTCGCGAGTTCGTATATGTTAAAGTATTAACATTTTAACACTGAACCCATGGCGACGGCGATTTCCGGATGTTATGATTCTTTCATAACATTTGTCAGATCTTGGAAAACCAAACGATCATCCAGAAAGTTAAATTACGGAAAGAGAAAACGAGCATTACGAACCCAGGTCACTAGCAAATTATTTTTGTCACATATTAACCACTGTTCCTGTTTCATCAACCAAAAGTACATCTCATTCAATAAACTGTTTTTGTAAAACCAGAATCTCGCTTCTTTATTCATTTATTTTTTTCCTACTGCTCGTGCAACTTATTTCATCTAACTCAGAAGCATAATCATTAGCGCAAAATCGACTTTTTATACGAAAGACAGAATCGGATCAAATTTTTTTTCTGAAGAGCTTACTATATGAATTGACGGTCAGCAAAGTATCCCTTGATTCAAATCACTTTTCGCATTTTGGCACGAATAGTGGCGCCACTATTCGCACTCAAAACGCGCTACTATTCGCGCCAAAATGCGAAAAGTGATTTGAATCAAGGGATACTTTGCTGACCGTCAATTCATATAGTAAGCTCTTCAGAAAAAAAATTTGAACCGATTCTGTCTTCCGTATAAAAAGTCGATTTTGCGCTAATGCCAGACCATAATTTGCTCGTTTTACTCGCTTATGCCTCGTACAAAAGTTCACAAATTAAAAAAATAAATTTGAGACTAAACTTGACTATTTAATGAAACGTTTCACATATCAGTTCACATTTTGGTCTTTCTTCGATTTCATTTATTTCTTTGCCATTTCTGGATTGTGATCGGCTACATTGTTCTAATTTTGCATTATCTTCAAATTAAAAAGTTTGTTGATTATGAGTTTAATATGGAAAGAAGTAGAATAAAGTATCAAACTGAGAAAGTGCATTCTTCGAAAAAACTACCACGCTACAATAGCAAGCGAAAATACAGCTAGGATATTAATTAGTTTAGCAGCGAGTAGAAAACTAAAAAACCTTTCTCCCCTACATTATTCTGACGTTCTGACTACTGCTTCATGGTAGATCTATGGAGAATACCAAGTCGGTACTGAATACCAAGAATAATTGACGATGACAATTTCTTCAAATGCTCAAGGCGTGATTTCAAAACGCTCGATTCAGCTAAAAAGAAACTAAAATCACACATCATTTAAAACACTTTTGTGTCCTTTACGATTCACTTTATAGCTCTGCTACTCTTAAGACCACTATTCAATGATCTTACTTTGTAACTTACGATCTAAGCCAACAGCTTTTGTAAAGTTTTCAGTTACTTTAGTAAGCAACAATTCCGTCTCTGACAATCTACAATACAGGACAAAGAAACATTATTAGATAATTCCGAAATGCAAAGAAAATAACGTACTGATGTATTTCGAACAGTCTTGGACATGTTATCACCGTTGAGCCGAGACGCTCAGCTAATACACAGTCTGTCAATGTTTCTGGAGAAGAATAAAACGATATAGTTTTATCAATTACCTTCACTAAATTGACTTTTTCCGTACCTTAATAATTCGATAGTTTAAAATTAGCTT